CCTCTCAGTGGCAGGCAGCTATGGACACAGAGATGGCTTCCTGGAAGTCCACAGGCACCTACGTTGACGAGGTTCCCCCGCCTGGGGCGAACATCGTCAGTGGCATGTGGATCTTCAGGGTGAAGCGGCCGCCGGGTTCTCCACCTGTCTTCAAGGCGCGGTACGTCGCTCGTGGCTTCAGTCAGCGGCAGGGAGTTGACTACTTTCAGACCTTCTCTCCCACCCCGAAGATGACCAATCTTCAGGTACTGCTGCACGTTGCTGCTTACCGTGACTACGAGCTGCACTCTCTCGACTTCAGCACAGCTTTCTTGAAGGGCAGCCTGCACGAGGAGATCTGGCTGCGCTGCCAACCTGGCTTCACTGGGTCGTTCCCTCCTGGTACGCAGTGGAGTCTCCGGCGTCCAGTCTCCGGTCTGCGCCAGGCGCCCCGTGAGTGGCACGACACACTGAGGACTACGCTTGCGGCTCTTGGGTTTGCTCCTTCTACTGCCGACCCGTCGCTCTTTCTGCGCACCGACACCTCTCTGCCGCCGTTCTACATCCTCGTGTACGTCGACGACTTGGTCTTTGCCACAGCTGACACTGCTGGACTCGCCTACGTGAAGTCCGAGCTGCAGAAGAGACACACGTGCACAGACCTGGGTGAACTGCGCAGCTACCTTGGCTTGCAGATCACCCGGGACAGAGCACGCCGCACCATTACCGTGACTCAGTCACACATGGTGCAGCAGGTCCTTCAGCGCTTTGGCTTCACGTACTCCTCGCCTCATGCCACTCCTCTGCCTACTCGCCACTCGCTCTCAGCTCTGCCTTCGGATGAGTCCGTAGAGTCGAGTGGCCCGTATCAAGAGCTTGTTGGCCGCCTCATGTACCTGATGACCTGCACACGACCTGACCTTGCATACCCTCTTAGCATTCTCGCACGCTATGTTGCTCCTGGGAGACACCGACCAGAGCACATGGCTGCAGCGAAGAGGGTGTTGCGCTACTTGTGCAGTACATCGGGCATGGGGCTAGTGCTTGGAGGGCGGAGTCCAGTGGTCCTCACTGGGCACGCAGACGCTTCTTGGGTTGACGACCAGGCTACACAGCGGTCGTCACAGGGTTACACCTTCAGCCTTGGTTCCGGCTCTGTCTCGTGGCGGGCTACTCACTCGTCTACTGTTCTCGGCTCCAGTTGTGAGGCTGAGATCTACGCTGGGGCCATGGCTGCACAGGAGCTTTGCTGGCTCACCTACCTGCTGACTGACCTCGGAGAGCCGCCTCGTTATCCTCCAGTTCTGTACGTAGACAACAAGGCCATGCTGGCCTTGTGTCAAGAGCAGCGACTGGAGCACAGAACAAAGTACATTGCTCTCCGCTACTTCCTTGCACGTGAGCTACAGCAGCGTGGATAGTTGCGGCTTGTGTGCGTGGCTTTTGAGGCCGACACTGCTGATGTCTTCACCAAGGCACTTCCGCCTTGTGATCATCAGCACTTGTGCACTCAGCTAGGTCTTGTCCCTGTCTTGCCTCACTTACTCACCTCTTGACCTTGCTTGTACTGTTACATATATATTTACCTGCTCTTGCTTGTCTAGCCTTATATATATATGTACTCCTGCATGTGAACTGGCCTTGTGGCCTTGAACTTGTGCTCGGAATGTGTGGTGACTTTGTGATCCACCCTGAGCTTGCTTTGCTTGACTGATCTTGTGACTCCCTGTTCTCCTCCACTTTACCTATGGGGGTGTGTTAGAACATTATAGCTTATGCTTTTGTGTAGGCTATAGTGGGGTATCCCATAGGGGGTACAACCCAATTAGGGTTATTACTTGTACCCACTTCATTCATAGTTCATTCATTCTCTTTCTCATTTCCTCACGGTTTGTTCGTTCCGTCTGCCCATCGGTTTGTGGGTGGAACGCCGATGACAACTTAAGCTTCGTTCCTAATGTCCGTGTGACTTCTTGCCAGAACCGGCTTGTGAAGCGCGGATCCCGGTCGGACACCAATACACGTGGTAACCCATGTAAGCGGAAAACGTGTGCCACAAACAATTTGGCCGTATCTTCCGCGGATACGTCAGTTGTAGTAGCCACGAAATGCACCATTTTTGTCAGACGATCCACAAACACTAGGATCCCTGTATGGCCATCGCGAGTCTTAGGAAGGTCCGTGATTAAATCCAAGGATACGCTCTCCCAAGGTTCATTCGGGATCTCGAGTGGTTGAAGCAAACCACCAGGCTTCTTTGTGTCCGTTTTATTTCGTGCGCATGCGTCGCAGTGCGCCACGAATTGCTGGACCTCAGTGCCCAATCCCGGCCACCAGTATACATCACTCAAGGCCCACCTGGTCTTTTTGACCCCTAGGTGCCTTCTGTACTTAGTGGCATGCACCTCTTCCAGAATATCGTTCCGCAGGCTACCTACGTGAGGTACAACGATCTCCTTCTTACGCCACCAGAGCTCATGCTCCCACTTGAGTTCCTTCGTGTTTCGTGGGTCCTGAAACCAGGAGTCAATTTGATACCCTGTGCGGATGCGTTTCAGGAAACCACTGAAGGTAATCTCACTCACTCGAGCCGTTGCTAGGACACTGAAGCAAGCATAAAATACTGCCGCATTCTCTGTGTCGTCTAGACGTGTTGCTGCCCCTATCGGCTGTCTGCTGAGGGGGTCAGCCAGGTTCGTCGAACCCGCTCGATATCGAATATCGAAGGTGAACCCACTAAGGAGTTCCGCCCACCGGGCTTGACGTCGAGTAAGCGTGGCTTGGGTGGAGAAGTAGGTGTTTGGACAGTGATCAGTCGTAACCACAAAGTCCACACCCTCTAGATAACATCGCCATGTTCGTAGCGCATGAACGACCGCCAACAGTTATTGTTCAGACGTCGTATAGCGCTGCTCTGCCGGGGAGAGCTTTCGACTCTCAAATGCCACTGGTCTCCCTTCTTGCAAGAGGACCGCCCCAATCCCAATCAATGAAGCGTCAGTAACAACCTCATAGGGCTTTGTCGGATCTGGTAAAACCAGAACCGGAGCATTGGTCAGCAATCGCTTGACCTCGTCGAATGCCTTTTGGCATTGTTGTGTCCATTGCCAAGCACTACTCTTGCGAGTGAGGGCTGTCAATGGGGCAACAACGGTAGAATAATTCTGCAAGAATTGACGAAAATAGTTCGCCAGTCCCAAAAACGACCTGATTTGACCCACATCTTGTGGTACCGGCCAGTTTTGGACTGCGACAACTTTCTTTGGGTCTACTTTGAGACCATCATTTCCCACGAGATGGCCAAGATATTCCAACTCGCGTTTGTAGAAATGACACTTCCACAGACGAGCATAAAACTTATGCTCTCGAAGTCTCCCTAACACCCACTTAAGGTGTCGCGTGTGCTCCTCTTCCGTCCTAGAGTAAACCAAGATGTCATCCAGATAGACTAAAACGAACTATCCAATCGCCTCGCGAAAGACATCAGTCATAGCTCTCTGAAAAGATGCAGGAGCATTGGACAAGCCAAAGCTCAGCACTCGCCACTGAAAATGACCAAACGGCGATCGGAAAGCCGTCTTGGGTACATCTTCTTCGGTGATGCGCAATTGGTGATACCCCATGCGCGAGGTCCAATGCACTGAACCACTGGGCACCCTGGAGTTTGTCAAACAAGTCCTGTATTCTCGGTAGGGGATACCTGTTCTTCACCGTGATCTTGTTCAAAGCACGGTAGTCTACGCACATGCGTGACCCTCCGCCCTTTTTGTTCACGAACAAGATCGGCGCTCCGTAAGGTGATGCGCTTGGTTCAATCCATCCCTTCCTGAGATACTCCACAATTTGTTGTTTAGCTTCCTTGTACTCAGCTAGACTGAGGCGATACAGAGGTCTAAAAGGTGGGAGTTTTCCAGGCTCCACTGGAATGGTGTGACCAACAGCACGGTCCGGAGGAAGGCCATCTGGGATGGGCTCAAAAACCTCTGCAAACTCGTCCGCCAGTGCTTTCATCCGAGGCGGGAAATCCTCGACCCCAGGCATCTCGTGTTGAGCATTCTCAAGCTGTACCTCAAAGAAGGTATCGGCTTGTCAAACATGCTGTCCGAACTCGTTTGCGAGCGCAAAACTCACATCAGGACACTTCGACGTTTGCTGTTCATTCGTGATCAAGTCCTTAGGCACTTTCCATTGGACTGTGTCACCATTCTTTAAGAATGAGACAGTATTGTCCTGGAAATCGAGCTTGACTTCATTCGCTTGAAGCCAATCCATTCCAAGGACAAGGTCGACACCTGCGAGAAGGGGTAAAACATACGCGCGGATCTCTTCGTGATAACCCTCGATCTCCATGTTGATCCGTGTCTGCCCTTTGCTTGGGATGATGCTATCGTCACCAAGGCAAATGGGGCAAGACGGTCCTTCAACTAGGATCGTGCGTGCTGTGACCCACTTTTCGTCAAAGAGGGAAACAGTTGCACCCGTGTCAACAAGGATTTTTGCATTATCCCCGTTCACACTACCCGCAAGCAACAAATTTTGTTGATGCTTTGGGCGAATAGGACATGCCACAATACTCGTCGAAGGTTTGAAGTACACCTTGACGTTGTGACGAGCGCGCCCATGTGACTGAGATTTGGTCCACCACACATGGTGTCCCTTGTCCCACGCCGCTAGGACCGGCCATCCACGAAGCACATGGAACAATTCGCCTTTCACTGTGCGAGTCACCAACGCAACTGAAGTCAGGGGGTGCTCTTGAGTGCAACGACTCACAATCTCAATGACAGAATGCAGAATGTCCAAGCCACAGAAAATAATTGAAAAATTATCTTGCATTGCTTCCATGGAAATTTTCTCAAGTGGGTACGATCGAGGATAAAAAACGGAGTTTTTATTAAAAGAAGAGGCAAACAAACAAGAGATTTTGCAATCAGCAAGCTTCTCTAGCTTTAATATATCATCATCACATAGCACATATGCCTCATCCACTCGATCTACTCCTCCAACTAGGTACCTACACCCTAGTTGGGCTTCTGAAAATCCTTCTTTCCAGAAGGTCCAGCTCCGCCTGGCTTAGGCTTCCCAGAATACTTGATAGCATTCTTATCACGGCAGTGCTTTATGATGTGCCCCATCCTTCCACATCCTCTGCACTGCTTGTCGGAGAAGTCCGACTTGTTAGGTCCATGACCTCCCCCTCCGTTAGGTCTCTTGGCCTGTGGGCCAGGCTGGTGATCACGCTGGTGGAAAGGCCTTTTGTTCCAACCACTTCCACCCTTCGCATTCTGGGGCCGGTTCCCATGACCACCAGAGCCCTCAGCACGGGGCTGCAAGCTTGTCTTTTCGGGGCCAAAAATGTACGTGCGAATGATGTTGTCGGTTTTGATCACCTGCTCCTTCATCTCCTTGTAAGTCGTCCAATCGGTCATGCCGCCGGTCATGTGTGCCTGCTGCAGGTTGACAGGGAGGCCCTTCATGAAGATGTGCATCATCTCCTCCTCAGCCAAGGGCTTTTGGAGCAAGCGTGCTGCGGCCTCAAACTCGACCGCATATTCCTGCACCGAACGGTCATGACACTTGATACGCTCAAGGCGTCTGCACAGTTCCAGGTCGGAATTTTTTACCATGAATGCCTCTTTCAGCGCGATGCAGAACTCCGGCCATTCAAACGGTCCCTGTGCCTGCTTCTTAGCACCATACACGGCCCTGCGGGCCACCTCATCCACGCACGAGTAGCTGCAGTGACGCGAGCCTCGGGGCGCACATTTGCAAGGATCATGGTGGAATCCACCAGGTCGAGCCAAGGCTGCACCTCCGTCTTGTTATGGTTAAATTCAGGCAGAGGCGCCAAGAGAGACCCAAAGGGCGAGGTCTCAGTTGGAGGTGGCTGATGCATAGCTGTCGCATCACCTACCGCCGGGGGTGCGGGCGGAGCGGGTGCCGGCTGAGCAGCAGGAGCGGATCTACGCCCAGGAGGAGGTTCATAAATACCCTCCCTCCTAAGATGTGTCAACTGCTCATTGATCTTGTTGAACGATGCTTGCAGATTCTTGCAAGTCTTCTGAAGCCACTCAATTTGGCGTTTTTTAGTGCCCAGGCTGCGACGGAACTCTGTAACCTCCTTCATGGTAATGCTCAGTCTAGCCTCCAGGTTCTGAGTGTGCTTCTTGAGTCCATCAATGGACGTCTGCTGCTGCAGGATGGTGATATTCTGAGTTGCCACCTTAGCCTGGAGTTGGACAATCTCCTAGGAGATAAGATAAGTCGTGCCTTCACCCTCAGTGAAGTCATTTTCATCACCAGTGGCCTCCTTTCCACGGGTGTTATCCTCTTCCCCAAGGTTGTCAGTGCCACCATGGTTCTCAGCTTCACCATGGTGCTCAGCTTCATCATGGTTCTTAGCTTCACCATGGTTATGCTCATCTCCAAGGTCCAGGTCCAAGTCCTCAATATCATCCAACTCAATGTCAGCCATTGCCTCATCTTGATTGAGGTCAATCTCAGCAGCATTGTTCACCACCTCATTAGGTGCAGTGGGCCCTTCCTCCCTTGCCATATCCTTCTCTTGGCCAGATGCCATAAGGAGTAAGGGAGATTGTAAGATCTGGGTTGATTCTGTTAAAGTCTTTTTACCACCTCAATGGTAAAGCAAGAAATTCTTATAAAAGAAATTTCTTCTACAGAATAATCCAGGTTACCCAAGTTATCAGATTTGTTGTCAAGCACTCCCAATCACCTAAGTGAAAGGGCAGGGTCTATCCAAATCTCAATGAAGAGAACTTGTATAACCCTCAACAAATCCTCCGGATCCAAGTTTATACTCCACTACTCAACAGTAGAGAGTCTTCCACCAAAAGGTGGGCAAGAGAGATAAATCTCTCTTCTTAGCTTGAAATTGCAGTTGTAGATCTTGTAGATCTTAAACTCTTCAAGCTTCCAGATCTTGAGTGTTCTCTTAAATAGAAACCACAACTCCAAGATCTATATAAAAAAAAAGAAACTCTAGGGGCAAAATCCCCACTAGGCTTAGGATAACCCTAGCTCTAGATACCAATGTAACAATCACGGCCCTTATAACTAAGAAAATGAGAACGAGAATGAATAAACTATGAATGAAGTGGGTACAAGTGTTAACCCTAATTGGGTTGTACCCCCTATGGGATACCCCACTACAGCCTACACAAAAGCATAAGCTATAATGTTCTGACACACCCCCATAGGCAAAGTGGGGGAGAACAGGGGGTCACAAGACCAGTCAAGCAAAGCAAAGGCAAGCTCAGGGTGGATCACAAAGTCACCACACATTCCGAGCACAAGTTCAAGGCCACAAGGCCAGTTCACATGCAGGAGTACATATATATATAAGGCTAGAGGTATATATATATGTAACAGTACAAGCAAGGTCAAGAGGTGAGAAAGTGAGGCAAGACAGGGACAAGACCCAACTGAGTGCAGAAGCGCTGATGAGCACAAGGCGGAAGTGCCTTGGTGAAAACATCAGCAGTGTTGGCCTTAGAGGCCACGTACGCAAGCTGCAACTGTCCACGCTGCTGTAGCTCACGAGCAAGGAAGTAGCGGAGAGCAATGTGCTTTGTTCTGTGCTCCAGTCGCTGCTCTCGACACAAGGCCAGCATGGCCTTGTTGTCTACGTACAGAACTGGAGGAGAACGAGGCGGCTCTCCGAGGTCAGTCAGCAGGTAGTTGAGCCAGCGAAGCTCCTGTGCAGCCATGGCCCCAGCGTAGATCTCAGCCTCACAACTGGAGCCGAGAACAGAAGACGAGCGAGTAGCCCGCCACGAGACAGAGCCGGAACCAAGGCTGAAGGTGTAACCCTGTGACGACCGCTGCGTAGCCTGGTCGTCAGCCCAAGAAGCGTCTGCGTGCCCAATGAGGACCACTGGACTCCGCCCTCCAAGCACTAGCCCCATGCCCGACGTACTGCACAAGTAGCGCAACACCCTCTTCGCTGCAGCCATGTGCTCTGGTCGGTGTCTCCCAGGAGCAACATAGCGTGCAAGAATGCTAAGAGGGTATGCAAGGTCAGGTCGAGTGCAGGTCATCAGGTACATGAGGCAGCCAACAAGCTCTGGATACGGGCCACTCGACTCTACGGACTCATCCGAAGGCAGAGCTGAGAGCGAGTGGCGAGTAGGCAGAGGAGTGGCCTGAGGCGAGGAGTACGTGAAGCCGAAGCGCTGAAGGACCTGCTGCACCATGTGTGACTGAGTCAGGGTAATGGTGCGGCGTGCTCTATCCCGGGTGATCTGCAAGCCTAGGTAGCTGCGCAGTTCACCCAGGTATGTGCACGTGTGTCTCTTCTGCAGCTCGGACTTCACGTAGGCGAGTCCAGCAGTGTCAGCTGTGGCAAAGACCAAGTCGTCGACGTACACGAGGATGTAGAACGGCGGCAGAGAGGTGTCGGTGCGCAGAAACAGCGACGGGTCGGCAGTAGAAGGAGCAAACCCAAGAGCCGCAAGCGTAGTCCTCAGTGTGTCGTGCCACTCACGTGGCGCCTGGCGGAGACCGTAGACTGGACGCCGGAGACTCCACTGGATACCAGGAGGGAACGACCCAGTCAAGCCAGGTGGGCGGCGCAGCCAGATCTCCTCGTGCAGGCTGCCCTGCAAGAAAGCTGTGCTGAAGTCGAGAGAGTGCAGCTCGTAGTGACGGTGAGCAGCAACGTGCAGCAGTACCCGAAGAGTGGTCATCTTTGGGGTGGGAGAGAAGGTATGAAAGTAGTCAACTCCCTGCTGCTGATTGAAGCCACGAGCCACGTACCGTGCCTTGAAGACAAGCGGAGAACCCGGCGGCCACTTCACCCTGAAGATCCATATGCCACTGACGATGTTCGCCCCAGGCGGGGGAACCTCGTCAACGTAGGTGCCTGTAGACTTCCAGGAAGCCATCTCTGTGTCCATAGCTGCCTGCCACTGAGAAGAATAGGGACCCTCTATCGCCTCCGCGTAAGAGCGCGGAGTCGGGATGTCAAGTGCATCCGGGTCTCCCTCAGGGGTAAGCAGTACGGACACGAGATGAGGTGAACCGGCTGCCAGACACTGGAACTCCTCCTGCCTGTCCTCAAGGACGTCCGTGCCAAGGGCACACTCACCCTCGACGGACGGAGGACAGACAGGCTCAGACTCAGCGACAAGACTAGCAGCGTAGTCTAGGCGACAGCGAGCAGCAAAGTCGACGAGCTCAGCAACTAGGGCAGACGCAGCAGTGGACTCGAAAGAAGGGTCAGTGACAGCAGTAGCAAGGAGACGTGTGACAGTAGGACTGGCAGCACAAAGAGAGTCCGACTCCGGGTCGGCAAGAGTAGGAAGAGAGGACTCAGGAGGAGAAGGCAAAGGGGCACGTAGAGGAGCAGTGGACGGACGCAGAGACATCCTGTGCGTGCCAGGGACAGGAGGAGGACGTGGACGCGAACCACGACCACTAGTGCGAGCCGTTCGGACAGGCGACGCAGGGCGAGACGCAGGCTCACGACGCTCAGCAAGACCTCCAGTAGGACCAGTGTAGGGAGAAGGAGCAGGCAAAGGGGAGGTAGGCTTCAGCTGTAACTGTGACTGGACAGGCTGTGGACACTCTAAAGAAGGAGGAGGACCAGTAGAAGGCGAAAGACCAAGAACCTGTTGCAGGAGTGGAACGAAGTACGGTCGAGGCCGCACGGCGACGCCAAACGCAGCAGGGACAGCACCAGTACCCCCAGCAGGAGCACCCGCTCCAGCAACACCTCCAGCAGCTCCAGAACTTCCAGCAGCACCTGTAGTACCCCCAGCAGGACCGCCAGCAGTAGTCTCACCGCCAACACCCTCAGCAGCACCAGCTCCAGTCAAACCCGCAGGCCTAGGAGCTCCAGTACTCCCAATACGAGCACCTCTGGGACCCCTGAGAGCAGCACCCTCAGCAGCCGAAGATCCTCGAGCTCCAGCAGCACGGCTCCAGCGCCGGGCAAACCACTCGCGCAGCTCCTGTGGAGAGAGGGGCTCCCGCAGAGTCGAAGCACCCGGAGAACCACTAGGCGTAGCACCTCCAAGCCTAGTACCCCCAAGCTCAGCACCACCAGGCACAGCCCCCCCAGGCTCAGCACCCCTAGGCTCAGCACCCCCAGGCTCAGCACCCCCAGTCGCAGCACCCCCAAGCTCAGCACCCCCAGTCTCAGCACCCCCAGTCTCAGCACCCCCAGGTTCAACACCCTCAGCAGCACCATAGTCACCAGAAACCTCGACAGGCTTGATTGCGTCTACCTGGGACACACCTGAAGGGGCAGGACCCTGAGGGGGGAGGGGGTCTACCGGGGGGGGACCTGGTACAAGGAAGTGGGGGGGGGGGGGGGGGGGGGGGGGGGGAGGGACGGAGTGCGGTAGGGGAAGAGGCGGTAGTTGGGGACCGACTTGTCAAACGTGACGTCCTGGGAGGACAGAACACGGCGAGAGGTGGGGTGGTAGAACTGCCACCTAGGCGCGTCAGGGGGGAACCCCAGGAAGACGCAAGGAGCAGCATGAGGGGACAGCTTGTCCGCAGACAAGTCGCGGACAAACGCCCGAGATCCCCACACCCGGAATGCCGACGCATCGCCAACCTTCCCTGTCCACCGTAAGGCTGGGGAGGTCTCCGGCCTGGAGACCCTGGGGTGAAGGTTGATCTGATGCGCCGCGTACCTCACCGCAAACGGCCACAGAAAATGGGGGGCAGCCGCATGCATCATAGACGTACGAGCGACGTCCATGACCATGCCAATGCGGCGCTCAGCGATCCCATTTTGCTGCGGAGAGTCCGGAAGCGTGAAGGTCTGACGGATGCCTCGTGTGCGACAGTAGGCTCTCAGAAGGCCAGAGGAAAACTCTCCGCCTCTGTCCGAATGCAGACGCAGAACAGGAATGTCCGAGCCAAAGCTCTGCCTGAGCTGGAGACGAGCTGCGCGAATCCACTCGATCAGCACCTCAGTGACATCACCCTTGCTGCGCAAGGGGAAGACCGCGGTGTAACGCGAGTAGTCGTCAACAACGAGCAGGAAGTAGCGCTCGTGACCCTGTCCACGGATGCGGGCTGGGCCCCACACGTCCATGTGAAGCGTCTGCAACGGGGCCTCTGTCGGAGGAAACTGGGAGGAGTGAGGGGCAGCCCGCTGGCGCCCCTCGACACAGGGGACACAGTTAGGGCCAGGCCCCTGAGGAAGGGGAGGGAGGGATCGGGCGAGACCAGAAACAAGAAGACGGGAGGCCATGCCTCTTAGACGAAGCAGAGAGGGGTGACCAAGGCGGTGGTGCCAGAGGAGAGTCTCGTGAGACAGGAGGCGACACGAACAGGGGGCAGACTCAGGACCAGACCTGGACGCTGCAACAAACACCTGACCCGACGCAGCTACCCTACTAGGCTCATCAACTGGAGGAGACGCGGTGGTCAGTGTGTACAGGCTCGACCTCGGCTGACGTGTAAACGTAGCCAGGTGTCGGCCTGTGCGAGCCTCTGTGCAGTGCGTCACTCGCTGACGCGCAGGAGTGAACTGGTGCACTCCCCCATCCTGTAGGTCAGCACCACTCACCAAGTTCGTAGAGAACGAGGGGAGGTAGAGAC